CTGTTCTCCAAACCCCACCGAGTTTGTGTCTTTCTTTGAATATCTATCCTCGTGCCATGAGTCCTTGCTATATTCTCACCCATATGCTGTAGTTCTCTACATTGGAGACTTCAATGTACACCACAGCGAGTAATTTCATTCTTCTCACACTGATGTGGGAGGAAGCGAGGCCCTTGCTTTCTCTATTACTCACTATCTGGAGCAAACCATCAAACATCCTACTCGCATTCCTGATCGTCACAAACATGCTGCAAACGCTCTTTACCTATTTTTTACTTCTAACCCTTCAAACTACTCTTATTCTGTGCTTTTCCCTCTTGGTAAATCTGACCACTCTATGATCTCAGTCTCTTCCATTTTCGCTCCCCCACCACCAATCCCTCCAACTCAGCGCCGCCTTTGGCACTACGAGCGTACCCAACATGAAAATTTGCGTAACATTCTCTTTGACTTCCCATAGGATGACTACTGCTTTCGGTCCCGCAACCCTTATCAGGTAGCTCTAAAAGTTCCCGAGATCATGACCACGGGAATGGAGGTGCACATCCCCTCTTCTACAAAAACTTTCTCTTCCCCTAAACCTAGGTTTGACCGTGCCTGCTCCGTGGCTATCCAGACTAGGAATCAGGCTCACCGATCTTACCTAGCCTCTCTTTCCGATTTAACTCGCTCTGCTTTTATTATAGCTAGGAATCGCTGTACTGCTCACATTCAAAGGTATAAGGCTTCCTTTATAAGAAGGAAAGTTGATAACCTTAACTCCTCTCCCACTGACAAATGCTTCTGGTCCTTAGCCAAAAACCTCTCCAAAAACTTCTGTAACTCAAGCTCTCCCCCTCTCATTCGTTCTGATGGTTCTATAGCTTGCTCTACAACTGACAAAGCCACTCTCTTTGGCTCTCATTTTTCTGCCAACTCTTCTATCAACGATTCCAGCGCACCTGTTCATCAGTCTTTTCCCTTCTCTAACCCTATGCACTCCCTTATCCTTTCTTCACGCAAAGTTCATAAGGTTCTTCACTCGCTAAACATGAAAAAGGCATCTGGGCCCGATGATATCCCTGCAAGGTTCCTTAAGGAGTTTGCAGATGAACTGGCTCCCGTGCTTTGCCTTCTTTTTCGCCTCATTCTGTCAACCAGTATTTATCCTTCATCTTGGAAGCATGCTCTAGTTCAACCTGTTCCTAAGAAGGGTGACCGCTCTATTCCTTCTAACTACCGACCTACTGCCCTAACCTCCTTTATTGCTAAAGTTTTCGAAACTTTGCTCAATGCTCACCTCTTGAAACACCTTGAATCTAACCCACTTACCTCCGATCACCAGTACGGCTTTCGCAAGGCAAGATCCACTGGTGATCTCCTGTCCTATCTTACTCATGTATGGTCATCTTCTCTGAGGAACTATGGGGAATCCTTTGTCGTCGCCCTTGATATCTCTAAGGCTTTTGACAGAGTCTGGCACAAGGCTCTGTTGGCCAAACTCCCTGCCTATGGCTTTATCCCTTCTTTCTGTTCTCTGATTTCCAGTTTTCTTACTGACTGTTCTATATCTGTAGTTGTTGATGGCGTGACATCTAGCCCTTCTCTGTTACCAGTTGTGTTCCACAGGGTCTGTTCTTTCACCTACTCTCCTCCTTCTCTTCATCAATGATCTTCTACAATCCCCATCTTCCTCTCTTCTTCATGCCTTTGCTTATGATTCTACCCTTCACTTTTCCTCTGCCTTTTCTTCACAACCTTAATCTGTTACTCACAATCAATCCCATGCCACTCTTTCTTCTACCCTTGACTCCAATTTGCAGAGAGTATCTGAGCGGGGCACTCAAAATTTATATAAAGTCAATGCCTCCAAGACACAGTTTCTGGCTATCACTTTATCTTCTTCTCCTCCTAATAACCCTATTGTCCTTGAAACTAATGAAATTTACCCTCTTAACTCTATCAACATATTAGAAATCCATATAGCCTCTAACTTGTCTTGGAGGAATCACATACTCCAAATTTCTAAATCTTCATCCAAGAAATTGGGGGTTTTGTTTCGTTTTCGTTATTAATTTTCCTCTTTGCACTTACTTAAAATTTACAAAGGTCTTATCTGCCCCTGCTTAGAATACTGCTCACACATCTGGGGTGCTTCCTCCTTTGCTTATCTTCTTGGTAGGGTTGAATCTAAGGCAGTCAGACTCATTAATGATCCTTTTCTTACTTCTAACCTAGATTCTCTCTCTCTTCGCCGTAAGGTATCTTCCCTTTCGCTTTTCTATTGCTACTACTTCCATCGCTGCTCTGATGAGTTGCCGAGTTGCATCCCTCCTCCGCTGCCGAGGCCGCGTAACACTCGCCAAGCGGCCTCATCTCACAGGTACTGTGTGGAGATTAGTAGCTCGCGGATTGGTCGGTGCAGCAACTGCTTCTACCTCCAGAGTCTGGAACTCTCTTCCTCCTTCTGTCTTTCCTAATTCTTATGACCTTTCATCCTTCAAAAAGCAGATTTATCGTCATCTCAGAGCCTAGTCCTCCATATCTCTGCGTCCTCTGTACTTTGACTGTTTTTTTCTGTCTGTCGTTTTCCTTTGTGTAACATTACCTCATATCTGCCTTGCCCTTAACCTTTTTCTTTTCCTTCGTCTTGGTATCTTCTTGTGCCCGGGCCTTTACTGATGAGGGCAGTTTCTGCCTGTCCTGATGTCGCACTCTTGAAAAAATATATATATATATATATATATATATATATATATATATATATATATATATATATATATATATATATATATATATATATATATATATATATATGAATCATTTTTACCCCAACTAGGACTTGAACCAGGGACTTATTATTACTAAGCCAAGGCGCTACCAACTACACCACAGAAGGCTAAAGGGAAACAAACCTCACAGCTTATATCAGCTATGGTAGGAATGAACGCATTCTATCTGAATGCCACTATGTTCATATTGCAGTTTCCCCAACCTCACTTGTGGTTTAGTTTTTGCATTTAATTCAACTCCCAATCTCATTCGAGACCAACATTATCCAAATAAGCCATTACATATGTGAAAACATAAACATTTTTACCCCAACCAGGACTTGAACCTGGGACTTATTATTGCTAAGCCAAGGTGCTACCAACTACACCACAGAAGGTTAAAGGGAAACAAACTTCACAGCTTATATCTGCTATGATAGGAATGAATGTATTCTATCTGAATGTCACTATGTTCATATTACAGTTTCCCCAACCTCACTTGTGGTTTCGTTTTTGCATTTAATTCAACTCCCAATCTCATTCGGGACCAACAATAACTAAATCAGCACATTACATACGTGAAAACATGAATCATTTTTACCCCAACCAGGCCTTGAACTTGGGACTTATTATTACTAAGCCAAGGCACTACCAACTACACCAAAGAAGGTTAAAGGGAAATAAACTTCACAGCTTATATCTGCTATGGTAGGAATGGAAGCATTCTATCTGAATACCACTATGTTCATATTACAGTTTCCCCAAACTCACTCATGGTTTCATTTTTGCATTTAAATCAACTCCCAATCTCATTCGAGACCATCAATAACCATATAAGCATATTACATATGTGAAAACATTAATCATTTTTACCCTGACCGGGACTTGTACCTGGGACTTATTATTATCAAGCCAAGGCGCTACCAACTACACCACTGAAGGTTAAAGGAAAACAAACCTCACAGCTTATATCTGCTATGGTAGGAATGAACGCATTCTATCTGAATGCCACTATGTTCATATTACAGTTTACGCAACCTAACTCGTGGTTTCGTTTTCACATTTAATTCAACTTCCACTCTCATTCGGGACCAACAATAACCAAATAAGACATTACATATGAGAAAACATGAATCATTTTTACTCCGACCAGGACTTGAACCTGGGACTTATTATTGCTAAGTCAAGGTGCTACCAACTACACCACTGAAAGTTAAAGGGAAACAAACCTCACAGCTTATATCTGCTATGGTAGGAATGAATGCATTCTCTCTGGATGCCACTATGTTCATATTACAGTTTTCCCAACCTCACTCGTGGTTTTGTTTTCTCATTTAATTCAACTCCCAATCTCATTCGGGACCAATAATAACCAAATAAGCACATTACATATGTGAACACATGAATCATTTTTACCCCAACCGGGACTTGAACCTAGGACTTATTATTACTAAATCAAGGTGCTACCAACTACACCACAGAAGATAAAAGGGAAACAAACCTCACAGCTTATATCTGCTAAGGTAGGAATGAATGCATTCTATTTGAATGCCACTATGTTCATATTACAGTTTCCACAATCTTACTCGTGGTTTTGTTTTTGCATTTAATTCAACTCCCAATCTCATTCGGGACCAACAATAACCAAACAAGCACATTACATATGTGAAAACATGAATCATTTTTACCCCGCCCGGGACTTGAACCTGGGACTTATTATTACTAGGCCAAGTAATTGGTAGCACCTTGGCTTAGTAATAATAAGTCCCAGGTTCAAGTACCGGTCGGGGTAAAAATGATTAATGTTTTCACCTATGTAATGTGCTTATTTGGTTATTGTTGTTCCTGAATGAGATTGAGAGTTGAGTTATATGCAAAAACGAAACCACGAGTGAGGTTGGGGAAACTGTAATATAAATATAGTGGCATTCAGATAAAATGCATTCATTCTTACCATAGCAGATATAAGCTGTGAGGTTTGTTTCCCTTAAACCTTCTGTGGTGTAGTTGGAATCGCCTTGGCTTAGTAATAATAAGTCCTAGTCGGGGTAAAAATGATTCATGTTTTCACATGTGTAATGTGTTTATTTGGTTATTGTTGGTCCCGAATGAGATTGGAAGTTGAATTAATTGCAAAAATGAAACCAAGAGTGAGGTTGGGGATACTATAATATGAACATAGTTTCATTCAGATAGAATGCATTTATTCCTACCATAGCAGATATACGCTGTGAGGTTTGTTTCTCTTTAACCTTCTGTGGTGTAGTTGGTAGCACCTTGGACTGGTAATAATAAGTCCCAAGTTCAAGTCCCGGTTGGGGTAAAAATGATTCATGTTTCCACATATGTAATGTGCTTATTTGGTTATTGTTGGTCCCCAATGAGATTGGGAGCTGAATTAAATGCAAAAATGAAACCACGAGTGAGGTTGCAAAAACTGTAATATGAACATAGTGGCATTCAGATAGAATGCATTTATTCCTACCATAGCAGATATAAGCTGTGAGGTTTGTTTCCCTTTAACTTTCTGTGGGGTAGTTGGTATCGCCTTGGCTTATTAATAATAAGTCCCAGGTACAAGTCCCGGTCGGGGTAAATATAATTCATGTTTTCACATATGCAATGTGCTTATTTGGTTTTATATATATATATATATATATATATATATATATATATATATATATATATATATATATATATATATATATATATATATATATACAGTGATCCTTTGTTTATCGCGAAGGTTTGGTTCCGGGACCCGGCGCAGTAGAGGAATTTTCGCGAAGTAGGATCACCCTATATGTACATAGATATTTTAATTTATTTTTACGTTTACACTGTATAAACTGTATAAACCCTCCCTGTACTGTTAACAAACCACCCTTTACTTCATAAATAACAGCATGCAAGTGTAAATTTATATGAAAGTGATAGATAAACTTACTGTGAATGAGGTGGTAATGACATGACATACTCATGTACATAGGTATTTTACAATTATTTTTACGTTTACTGTATAAACCCTTCCTGTACTGTTAAAAATCCACTCTTTACTTTATAAATAACAGCATGCAACGTAAATTTATATGTACGTGATAGGTAAACTTTCCGTGAATGAGGTGGTAATGGTTTGTAGACTCTATAGGAAATTATTCCGCAGCCAATAACAGCTTTGCGGCTGTTATTCATTGAAGCCAAAATAGCGGCCGACATCCGTAAACCTTTTTCCTTCTTTCAGCACATGTAAGGGTTTCACCTTATCTGTTATGGTTAACATCTTCCTTTGCCGCTTAGGCTCACTATCAGAAGCCTTAGAAGATGAAGGATGCTTGGGAGGCATTGCAAAGGTTAAAATACGCGATTAAAAAAATCACAAGCAAAATGTATTAATAAGCACAACGTGAACGGTGCACACGTGAGTTAGACTGAACGAGTGAGGCGAGACAATGGAAGATGATGGGAGAACCAAACTTCAATTAAAAAGCCAATCAGACCCCATGATACAGATCTCTCACTCTTTTAGCCAATAGCATTCCATGAACTATTTCACGTGGGTGCGAGCCTTTGTCCGAAACGCTGATACCGGTATCGTATTTTACATGGTGCAATACTGTTAGTATTTATGTTTTTACTATTTTTTACTGTTTTATTATTCTTAGGCTAAGAAATACGTTTTTTTATCAATAAAATCATGAAACTACTGGAAATTTTAATATATATGCTAGCTCACGTAGGTGCGACCCCAATACATTGTACGCTATCGGACAGTATTTCACATGATGAAATACTGTTATATATCTAAATTTATGTTTTTTACTATTTTTTACTGTTTTATTACTCATAGGCTAGGAAATACTTGTTTTATCAATAAAATAATGAAAATTTCAATATGTACGAGCTCACGTAGGTGCGACCTTTTTCATTTTCCGAAACATGATGCAATACTGTTAGTATTTATGTTTTTACTATTTTTTACTGTTTTATTATTCTTAGGCTAAGAAATACGTTTTTTTATCAATAAAATCATGAAACTACTGGAAATTTTAATATATGCTAGCTCACGTAGGTGCAACTCTTTGCGTTTTCCGAAACGCTGATACCGGTATCGTACTTTCTATGATGCAGAGTTACATGTTCAAATTTATGTTTTTTTACTATTTCTTACTGTTTTATTATTCGTAGGCTGGGAAATACAGTAATTTCTTTTTATTAATTAAATAATGAAAAAAAATTTTCAATAAAAAAATTAAAATACTGAAAATTTTTATTTTTTTAATATTTTAATATTATTGCATATACCCACAAAAATAATAAAATTTGCCAAATAAAATCGCGATACAGTGAATTCGCGAGGGAAGAAACGTGATAGAGCGAAGGATCGCTGTATATATATATATATATATATATATATATATATATATATATATATATATATATATATATATATATATATATATATATATATATATATATATATATATATATATATATATATATATATATATATATATACAGGGGATTCTTGGTCTATGAGGTTCTCGACCTACAACATTTCGTGGTTACGATGCAACTCCCATAATATATTAAGAAATCCTTGTTTCAACCTACGTGGCTTGCATCATAAACGCAAACTTCGCGCGAGAACAGTTGGTTGAGGCTTGCGAAAGAAGATGGCATTAACGCAGCCTTAGACTGGGGAAATTGCGACGTTCAGTTCCCACTTGTACAACATCTTGTTATTGTGCTTACTCAGTGTTTAGTTTGTTTTGCTGTTTTTTTATATTTGGCCTGCATTATGTCTCCCAAGTGTAATGCAGACTCTTCTGATAGCAGTTCTTTTAAAAAAAGGAAAGCCATCACCATGGAATAGAAATTAGAGATAGTGAAACGCTCGGAAAAGGGAGAAACTGCTACCAACACGGGCCAGTCACTAGGGTTAAGCTGTTTGACTGAGGCAACAATTATCAAGGATAAAGATCGCATCCTTGAACATGTGAAAGGTTCTGTTCCTATGAAGTCCACTGTAATTACTAAGCAGTGTAGTGGCCTAATGATTGAGATGGAAAGGTTTTAAGTGCTTTGGCTGGATGACAAGCAAAAATGGCATATTCCTCCCTTACCATGCCCTTTCCACTGCGCACGCCAGGAGTAAAGGTAAGGAATTGCTCTTTTATTTTTGTAATTGTTTCATTTCATTATTTTATATTTATGTCCTCCAAGTGTTTTTTATTCTTAGATATGCTTCCATATGTCATAGAAATGTTGTGTTTTCATGTCTCAGCTTATGACCTTACTATCGTGCTAGTATAGGTGGGTGATGTAGATGCTTATTTAGGCATGTTAGGACTTATGTGGAATATCAGGCTACAACGCATTGTAAGGAACAGAACTGTATCACAAGTCAAGCACGCCCTGCATATGATATATATATATATATATATATATATATATATATATATATATATATATATATATATATATATATATATATATATATATATATATATATATATATATATATATATATATATATATATATATATATATACACCTAGTTCACTTTTTACGCGTGTTTATAATCCGCAAAACTGGAATAACGCCCCTAGAAAATAACAGTAAAAAAATACGAAATTCGTGAATAACGACCAAGCAAAAAAATTTGAAAAAAATTTTTAATTTTAGTAAATAATCAACCGCCTCGGAGGCACTTTTCCGCCATCCTCCTCCTCTTCTAGCACTTAATGCGATCAGATATTTTGAAGATAATGAAAAAAAGCATTAAGAACAAACAGCAAACAAATTTTTGATATAATATCGTCAGGGAATTAGCGCGCGAGGGTGCATCAGCTGATACGGAAGTGGCAAAACGTTTGTGGATAGAGGTTCGTTCTCCCACATCCTCCCTCTCTTTTACTGCCTAATGCAATCAAATATTATGAAGAGAAAGCAGCAAACAAACTTTCGATATAATATCATCAAGGAAATATCATGCGAGGGAGCCTCAGATGATACGGAGGTGGCAAAATGTTTGCAGATAGAGGTTCGTTCTCCTGCATCCTCCTCCTCTTCTACATCTTACTGCAATTGAATATTATGAAGAAAATTGAAAAAAGGCATTAAGAACACACAGCAAACTAAGTTTCGATATAATATCATCGGGGAAATAGCGTGTAGAGAATATATATATTTCATTTAAGTTTCCTATGTACAGTGCGATATAAGTTTTCTTTGTAACGAATTGCATAGTTTTCTTTTTGTCTCAGCTGATATTGTTTACGTTAAGATTTCGTGCAGCATGGTTTATATGTAAAGAAGATAGAATAATGTTTAGAACCAAGGAATATTAATAATACTATAATCTTGAAAATTAGATACACCCAATATAGAGTGAGCAAATAAATATTTTATGAGTAAGATATTGTGCCTGAATAGTGATATGCATTAGCTGATACGGAAGCGGCAAAACATTTACGGATAGAGGTTCATTCTCCCGCTTAATGTGATCATATATTATGAAGAAAATTGAAAAAAAAAACATTAAGAACAGACAGAAAACAAACTTTCAATGTAATATCGTCAGGGAAATAGCGTATAGAGAATATATATATATTTCATTTAAGTAGCCCATGTACAGTACGATATACGTTTTCTTTGTAACGAATTGTATAGTTTTCTTTTTCTCTCAGCTGACTTTGTTTACGCTAAGATTTGGGCAGCATGGTTGATATGTAAAGAAGAAAGAATAATGTTTAGAACCAAAGAATATTAATAATACTATAATCTTGAAAATTAGATAAACCCCAAATAGGGTCAGTTAATAAATATTTCATGAGTAAGATATTGTGTCTGAATAGTGATAAGCATCAGATGATATGGAAGCGGCAAAACGTTTGCGGAGAGGTTCGTTCTCCCGCATCCTCCTCCTCTTCTACCGCTTAATGCGATCAAATATTATGAAGAAAATTTAAAAAAAGCATTAAGAACAAACAGCAAACAAACTTGCGATATAATATCGTCAGCGAAATAGCATGCGAGGTAGCATCAGCTGATACGGAGGCAGCAAAACATTTGCATCCTCGTTATCACCGTCACCCAAGCCTTTCCCACCGCATAATATAGTGCAACAATTTGTTTACTCTACAGTAAATCTGTATATCTTTTATACTGTACACTATTTGCATGTTAATATAAATAACTACAGGTCTTTCTGCTTTGTTATGTACTTATAAAATATGTCTTACTTATCTTATATCTTTGGTATAGTGTGTACTTACCTAATTGTACTTACCTAATTGTATTTACGGGAAAGAGCCCAAAGCT